CCTGAGGCAAGGACCAATCAAATAAGGAAGAGTTTACAATATGATGTTTCCTAACCGACTCGCCTGGATACTTTCGCTCCGTGCAGTTGTTACCGTCTCGCGGACGGCACGAACCGATGTCCCGATGGCGGTGTCTCGGCGAGCTTGCACACGGGGGCCGCCGCCGACCGATCGCCGTCTGGCCGGGCTCGCTTTGCGAGAATCGCCCGTACCCAGCCGGGATCCCCGAAGGTGCGCTTGAAGCGTGGAAACGATGTTATATAACGAAAGCCAAAGGCCATCTACACCACGAGCGGGCAACAGCCGATGCAACGGCGTGCGTGAACGTAAACAACGATAGAAAAGTGCCGTCGCCCGCCGTTATGAACTGCATCCCGAAAATTCGGTAATCCGCGGCCGCATCCCCTTCCTGCCGCTCGTACTTTCGCCAACTTCACAGCAACTCTGTTTCGCGGGACAAGCCGACTATTCAATGGGACGATCGTCTGGATAAGTAGTAATTGCTACTGCCGAGCGCGGCGTAGTTTACCATTGCTCTCGCTGCGAAAGGCCGTTGAGTCAACCACCAGCATGGTGGATACCGGTGTTCGACGTCATCATGTGACGTAGATGCAAGGCATGCATATGGAGAGAGTTTTGCCAGTCTAAGATCTCGCCGCCGTAACGCCCTTCTCCCCAGTGAGCCAATCAGCTCGCGGCGCAGAGCGAGAGGCGTGAGCGCATGCTCCTGAACTCGGCTGCTCCTAGCCGAGTGTAGAGGGCCACCATTTTCCTTCATTCGCCCGGCGGAATGCATGGGATCGACATCCAAATTTCGATTCTTTACTTTTATTTGGCAGGCTCTGGGTAGAAAATCATATAGTGGTATTCCTCGGTGGCTCAAAAAGCTAATGAATTAAGTTTCTTCACTTTTAAACTCAAATTTTAATTCAAGCGAAAAAGGAATAAGCCCGTAGCAGACGACGCGTGGCCTCAACAGTGCTCCGCGCCGACAGAGTTGCGACAAAATGGCGGTCGTCTCCTCGTTGTTCCCTTCTTTCTCTCTCGCTCCTTCGGCGCTCTCCTCCCTTTCCTTCACCTTTCTCCTCTCCGGCGCCTTCTTCGCCACAGCCACGGGTCAAACTCTCCTAATATATGGCTCTGTCATAGAGTTATTATAATGTACGCTAGAGGGTCAACTCCTTACTGATTACCACCTGAACGTTAGGAAAAGCTATGAACAGAGAAAGAAACACACTTCTTGACTATCAAGCCTTTTAATAAACTTCCTTTTCCTCAACCCAATCCTAAAAGGGTAGCTTCTTCTTCTTCAGTCAGAGCTTAGACATAAACTTCCTTTTTCTCCTCAAGAACCGTGGAGTTCTCTTCTTCGACTTTCGGATCTTGAAAAACTTCCTTCTTTTTGTCTTTTATACTTCCGGTGGTGTCACCCTCGTTTTACTCGGTCGGATCTTGGAGTCACAAGGTCCGACCTTGGTTCATCCGAGGTGCCGCTTTCCTCAGATACATTTTTTCTTTGGGCAAGAGCGCAATGGAGGCAACACTCACGCATTCTCTCTCCCCCTTCTCAATGGCCAACGCCTCAAGGAGCTCCCTTCCAAGCTGCTTTCGGTGTTTTGCTAAGACGGTAAGGCTTGTGAAATCAGGAGCACATTTGGAGGCCAGACAGTGCGACGAAAGGAGGCCCGCCGACGTTAGTGCGGTCACAGAGGCTGCATGTTCTATGGTGCGGTCGTTGATGCACCTCCCTGTTTGTCCTATATAGCTTTTGCCACATGACATAGGGATCTTGTAAACAACTCCTTTTTCGCATGGGGCGTAGGGTGTTCGATGCGCAGTGCTGCAGGTCGTCGTCCCGTTCTGGGCGGTTTTCCGGTTCACCCTACGGCACATGGCGTACGCCTTGTGGGGGGCGGAGCACACAACGTTGATGCCTTGTCGGCCGGCGATCTTTTTTAACCGATGAGTAATGCCGTGAACATACGGGACCACTGCGAAAGGCTTTGGGGGCTTCTTTTGCGTTGTTTGATTCTGCTCAAGATTTTGTCGCACTTGCTTACAAAGCTTTTCACATACCGGTATGAGGAGGGTACTCGAGTACCCAGAATCCTGGAGTCGACCCAGCTGTCCTTGAAAGCAGCGCCCCACCTTATGGGGGCAGGACTTCTGTAGCGCCGAGACTAAAGCTTTGGTGACCAGCCCCCGTTTCACGTTTTGGAATGCTCCGAGGTAAACGGAAGGAACCGCTTACATGTACGGGGTTCATAACTCCAGCACACGTGGGAAAGTTGAAACTCCAATGAGAGGTCTAAAAACCGTATGGAATTGTTGACGGGAAGTTCATGGGTAAAAGCCAATCCGTGGCAGCTGTGTTTGAAGCTGCGCATGACCACGTCTAAGCACCCGTTACTCTCCTCATTTGCATCAGAGTTGCTGAGTATGAGGAAGTCGTCAACATACCGAAAGATGGCCTCGATCCTTTAACTGGTCTTGAATGTCCTTCCCGCACTCTGCTAGGAACAAATCGCTCAAGTAGGGGGCCACTCGAGAAGCTATGCACACCCCGGTTTTCTGTAAGAATTGCTGATCCTGGTGCGACACCACCGTCGCAGAAAGATATGCCGTCAGGAGTTCCAATAAGCTGTCGAGGCTCATCCCTGGTGAATTTTGAAACCCTTGAAGACCCTGCTCCTCAATGGTTTCTCGGAGTACTTTGAGGAGAGCCGCGTGGGGAATGGAATAGTAGAGGTCTTGGATGTTTAAGGAAAAGCCTGATACAATATCAGAACCTTTCTTCTGAAGAAGCCGAATCACTGCTTCGGAGTTTGGTATCCGGAAAGGATCTTTTACTTAAACTTGTGATAGGTATTTCGCCAACCAAAGTGAAACCTGCCCTTGCCAGGTGTGTTGCTCTGAGACAATGGCACGAAAAGGGACCCCATCTTTATGTGTGTTTGCCGAGAAGAAGACACTTAGGTCCCCTCGTTGGGCTCCTCTGATTTTTGTGACTAGCCCACGGCTTTGTTCTTTTTTGACTATCTTGAGTGTGGCTCGTTTGGCTGGTTTGACTTGAACTGGATTCAGTTGTTTGAAGTTCTTCGCTAAAGTTTGTGTTGCTCTGTCTCCATACGACCCAGAGTCCAGAACTACAAACCCTCCCTCCTTGTCCGAGAGACATAATCGAAGGTCCTTGCGACGCAATCCCTCCACCGTTGAGGCAAAACTCAACTGTGGAGGTCCCGGGCTCTTTATGCCTGCCGAACACTCAAGACGCTCGTTGATGATTTGTGAGGTTGCTTACTGAAACGCCTTAGATGCGATTTCTCGTACCATTAGGACCTTATTGACATCACTTAGCCTTGGTGGAAGGGCGAACTTCGGACGCTGCTCAAGCACCCTCCGGGCTGATGCTGAAAGGGACACATCTCCGATGATCTGGAGTGGCGTGCTTTTGGGTTCTGTCGTAACCCCTCGGGCGAGATGGTGTTTCCAAACTGGGAGAAAACAAACCTTCCACAGGTGCTCTGTGAGGGATCTTGCTACGTTCAATTTGCAGCAGCACTAGTGTGCTGCTGCAAATTGAAGCAGACAGCAACCCGTCTAAAACTGGCTTCCGGTAATGTCATTCTAGGGAATAAAGCGCACTCATTTTGTCTCTCCGCTCGGTTATATGAGAAAATATTAAAAAGAAATCAAACCTGATAAATAGTTTATAAGCATATCTCAATCACATACACAAATAAATGTCATTTACAGATGTTTTTTCTGTTGATTTCATGGCATAAAGCAGAGTGCTAAAGAAGCTAAGTATACGTGTATACTAGACCATTATTTTCGAGATTTTTGCCGCAGCCTCCAGATTTACCGTGGTATTTACCTATGAAAACGGAACCAAAAATCGTATATAGTTAAATAAACTGCTGATAATCCCCAGGCGAAAGCGACGCTAATGTGTCATGTCGGTAGACTCAGATGGCAAAAACGAAAACAGCTCCAATGGCTCAACGTATCAACTCTGCAAATAAGTATGTTTTTTTCTTTATCGGATGCACGAATGCAAGCATAGTCTTGTGGTATCGTTCAATATATCTTCATATATTCCAAAACATTCAAAAATACCGGGAGGCACCTGCACTGTGCTCCTTGCCCGGTGGCTACCGGTGCGCGGTACGGCGGGGGTGGTCAATGGCGGCCGCAGCTTATGAAATAAGAATAATATTAATACCGTCTGTTAGTACGCATACGTTTTTTGTTTTGCCTTTTTTTCTTTCACTGATTGCAGATTTGTCCAAGGAGAACAGATCAAATAAAAATTACATGAGGTCTGATATGTCGCCTGCTTTCTGCTTTCCCGCTCGCGCGGTTAAATTTAAGAGTAAAGCTATACGCACTCCGGAGTGCGCTTCGCGCGGAAATGCCTATACGCACTCCTCCGAGAGATCATGCCGCTCGGGCCACCCTTTTTGAACGGCGCGTGAATCACTGGGGCGCTCGTTAACACAGCCCCCCGCCTGCGTTCACGCCGCTTCGCGGCGACAGTATCGGCTGCTAATTACTAAGAGTAACCAGTACACGCCGCGAACCAGCCGGCAATCCAAGCCCCGCTGTCCCCGATCGCACCTCCGGAAAGGGAGCCCGATACCATTTAGTTCTGCAAAATTTCTCGACAACATTCGATTTTTTTTTTTTTTTACTGTTGATTGCAAAAAAGGAAATGTCGTAAATATCGCCAAGTGCCTCAACAAAACAAAATGTTTGAGAAAAAGAAAAAAAAAAAAGTAGGCCAACCGCGGATCGAACCCGCGTCCACTTGCGTATGAAGCGGACACCCTAACCACTACGCCATGGCACCGCTTAGGAAACTCGTTGTGTGCACTCTTTTTATACGAGAAAAGCGGAGTGCGTATAGCCATTTCCGTCCGAAGCGCACTCCGGAGTGCGTATAGCTTTACTCTAAATTTAATCGAGGCGCAAACGCTTTACGTCGCTAAAATACAGGAATGCCGAGGTTGTGCGCAGCGCTGAATTGCAAGAACCGTGAGGGAAGAACCTCAGGATTATCATGTCACACGTAAGTAGCAATCACACGTGATTACTACATATCACTAAGAATCAAATTATAGAGCGCGACCCCTCGTACGTATATGGCCAGCATTGGAGCATTTCGTTTGATATTCCAGGTTCCCTAAAAAATGACAATCTTCTGCAGAAGTGGTTGAAAGTTTGTCCCGACAACTTTACTCCTGCTCCCCATCGTGTCCTTTGCTCACGGCACTTCGAGCTCCAGTGCTTTAAGGATGAGTTGTATGTGAAAGCAAGACTGAAGGAAGATGCAGCACCCACCGTTTGCTCTGTCAAGGTATGTACATATATACTGAAGTGAAAATAGGTTGAATTCAGTAGCAACTGTTATGCATGATTTCCTTGTAAACTTTGAGTTCATCCGTCATTGTGCTAAGTGCAAAGATAATATATAGACGCTTTACACACGCGCCAAATTACAGCCGCCATTGCTGACCTTCTCTTGTCTTACCGAGATGCCGAGCAACTGAAACGGTAGTTGACGATCCTCTAAAAAGGCCGATGCCTTAGAAAAGGACACAGTTGAACCTAATATGGCAATATCCTGGCCAGCTATGGTAATGATGAAGTGAAATGAACGAAATAAAAGGAAACCAAAACTGAAGGTCAGTTATGGCGGCGTCCATGCACAGCTGCTGCAAAGCGTCTATAGCAGCAAAAAAGTTTGTAATGTCACTTTTATTTCCAGTCCTTAGATCATATACATTAGAACAAAATGTATGCGTTAATCCATACCAACTGGTCTCTTTCTTATAGGCACCGAGGAAGCGTCCAGCACCACGGATCGCCGATGACGCAGCACCAAGACCATGCTCCAGCAACCACACCTATTTCGATGGAGAGTCCCCAAAAGGTAAACGACGTCGTATGAACAAGAGAATAGATTTGGCCAAAAAGACAATTCACTCAGTGCAACGGACCCTGCAAAGAAACAAACAAAAAGCTAGAAATCTCCAATCACTTTTAAAATGACTAAATGAGAAGCATGCACTGAAAGATGAGCTCCAACTAAGGATGGAAGCACTTGGGGAAATCCCGCAACAACTACTAAAAGGCTTAAAAAAATCGCCAGCAGGAATATGATTGGCAGAAGGTACAGCAAAATAACAAAAAAATTCGCACCCACCCTGCACTACTAGCCCCTAGCCTATGTCTGCATTAGCACGCTCTTCCCCCTTCCTTCTGTGAGCTGCCTCAGGTGTTGGTTGAAAGTTTTTGGAGCATCGCCTGGATTCACCAAGGAAGCACTAGGAGAGCTGGAGTGACGACATGCAAACTCTTCTGAACGAAAGAGGCTGTGTGTCGTGATGCTGGACGGGATGTGCATAAAAAAGAAGTAAGCTTGGATGTCCCAAAGGGTAGGTTCATCGGGTACGTCGATTTCGGCTAATGACTTGGCTCGGTCGGGACTGACGAAGTGCCCATGGCAACAGAGATCTTGCTTCACCCTGGAAGATACCGTTTGGCTATTTCCTGACAAATGAAGTGTCAGGGTTGTTCCTTAAGAGCCTTTTTGAAAACAGCATCGTCGCCTTTCAATAGTGCGGTCTCCACGTTAAGGCCGTAATGTGCGATGGACTGGGTGCAAACGTCACCATGGCAGAGCTGCTGGGCTGCCATGTTCACGAAATCAGCTATGAAGACACAAAGACGACGTTCGAGCACCCGACTCGACCCACCGAGAAGGTGCATTTCATTTTCGATGCCTCGCACGCCCTCAAGCTTCTCCATAACCTGCTTGGAGACAAGAAGGTGCTGCACTCAGCTGCCTATGCGGTAAATAGTAGCTAATGGCTTTTTAAAACATAGAAGTACCACTAAATCAGAAAAAAAAAAAGACGGACTATGAACCCCGTGAACTGTGAAAAAGCACACACAGCCACTAAACTGAGTGTAGTTTGGGACCTCATTCCTTATGTCCCAGTCTTGAGGTTCCAAATTCAGTTGTAAAGTAACTATCGTAAAACACGAGGTAAAACAAGAACCAATTGACAATTTTTCATTGCTTGTGTCTATTCCATGCAGTTCTTAATGGGATGCTAAGCAGCACCGTAATGTCAACCGCGCAGACTCTTTGAGCCGAACATCATAATGTAAAAAAACAAAACTTAATGTACAGTCATAAAAAGAGCAATCTGAAACAACCAAGCAGCAACTAAGAAGTACCAGTGTCGTGTTCCTAGATGACAAGCTGAACTAGTTCAAAAATAACTTGTGGCACATCAGAACAGATCATCGGTATCAATACTACCACACAAATAGTTCAGTAGTTGTGCAGTAGGCCATTTTTAAAATCTTGAAATGCTTAGAGGCATGCTGGGAGTCAGGATCCACCTGCTCTGTGTGCTAGCCACTTGAGACGTAGTAAACCTTTAAAGAAGGAATCTGCAAAAAAAATAAATAAAAGCTTTTTGCAAGCATTGCATCAGTTACAAAGTGATATAGAATATATATTCCTGAAGATTAGAAGAGCCCAGAGCACTTCACATGTGGGCACCTACTCCAAATGTGCCTATACACCTTCAAGCTAATGTTACCAGATAAAGTACTTCAATTGATACAATTATGTTCCTTCCAATGGTTCCAATTTGCGGCAGATCCAGTGGCACTTCATTAAGCAGTTGCACCAGCTGCAAATGTTTGAAGGCCTCCGCGCTGCCAACAAGCTCACACAGGCCCACATCGAATTCTGTCGACAGAGGATGAAGGTCAAGCTGGCTGCTCAAACCCTCAGCAGTTCCGTCGCCAAGGCCCTTCTGTTTGCCAAACAGCTTGGGCTCCCAGAGTTCAGCAACTGCGAGGTAACATGCAAGTTCATTCAGGACACTGATAGGTAAGTTTTGAAGCTCATTATTGGTGTTTATGGTATAGTGAGGCAGCACTTAATGTTCCATGTGTTAACTGCAGAAAACAATGGTTTTGCATGTCATGTAGGTGTTTTGAACTGCCGAGCTCACGGAGTCCTGTGGCCCGCACCTACAAGCGTCCCTTCAACCAGGCGAACATCCAGGGGAGTAGCCAGATGATCAAGGGGGTCGGCCAGAACCTCATGCAGCTGGAGCTATCCAGCGCCAACCTGCAGTGACGGACGGCAGGCGCATGCCTGTCATTGCGTTTGCTTTCGCCCTGAAGAGCGTGGCAAGCCTCGCAACTCAACTGCTCACCAGTGGTGAAGTTAGGTTAGTGCAAGTGCAGAACGGAACTATACCCGATCGCATTTATTGTCTGCTGTAGGTTAAGGAAAGCAGGAAAATTCCCTTCGAGAAGCTCTGCGCTCACCGCGATTGCCGGTTTTCTCTTCTCCACTCACCCTCTCCTCCAACATTATTTTGCTAATTTGAAAAATGTGGCGGGCTTTCCCTGGAAAAAGCTTGTTCTGCATTCCTTAATCTGCAGCAGACTATTGACTACACGACTTCTCTTTCTAAACAAAATGTCTTCTCTGGTGTCTTTCTTTTTTAGCTATCTGTGTTCCTACCGGGCAAGCCAGGACCACCTGGAGATGTTCTTCAGATGTGCGCGGCAAAGGGGCGGCTGGAACAATAACCAGTCAGCTACCCAGTTTCAGCAGGCCTACAGGAAGCAGCTGGTACACGCTGGTGTTCAAGCCCCCAACTCCGACAACGTGGCTGCTGACCTTGAAAGGGAAATCCTAACGGTCAGCCAGGGTGACGATCTGGCCGCGGTGTATGGGTTGGGCGAGGATACCCTGTCAGAGTTCACCTCTGAAGTTGTGAAGTACATTGGGGGCTTTGGCAGACACCAGATCAAAGACGCTGAGCTGCGCATCCTGTGTGAGTATGCTCCTGATTGATATCGTGACAGGAGTCCTCTTTAGCATCAGGGACAATGGCAAAATACGATAGTAATGCCAATGAATTACTTGAAAAGCTTAACATACCGCTCAACAGGCTATACCTCAATAAACTTGGACCGCTAGTTCATGCAAAAGGAATAAATAGCTTTGGTTTAACTCCCTCAAATCTAACGGGCTATAACCTAAGGGCAATGTCAGCTAATAAACTCTACTACGAACTAGAACGAATTATGGCAACCAAAAGATCAGCTTCCAAGTACCCCAGCTCTTAAACGCTCTAGGCTACAACGTATCGCTTGCCGGCCCCACAGGGGCTTTTAATCAAAAGCTTCGCTCCTTCTTGGTCAAACATGAGATACGTATTATATAATTGTATTATTGGTTTTTAATCTTGACTGCATATGTTGCCCTTATTGTGTTCAAGATGAATTATGGGCAAGGAGGTTTTTCCTGACCGTTTTTTATTTGTCACTGTTTTAGATTGTCCTTTTGACTGACGACCGTAGAATATATGGTATTTTTTTAATCGTGTAATCCCTATTGAAAAATATTTTTTACCGGAATGTCATTTCCAGTAAAAGTCTATTTTACTGGATTATGGGACTGTTTTCACTTCCAGTAAAGCCGTAGTTTACCGGAACGTCACCGGGTTCTTTACTGGAATGTTACCGGTTGATTTACAGGAATGTTACAGGATTTTTATGATGATGGCACCAGATTTTTTACCAAAATGTCACCGGATTTTACCGGAAGTATATTTCCAGTAAAAATCTATTTTACTGGATTATGGGACTCTTTTCACTTCCAGTAAAGCCACAATTTAGCAGAAGATCACCAGATTGGCCGGGATTTACCGTGTTTTTTTGTCTTTTTTCGGACGTCAACGGAAGGCACTTAGGAGGAAGCTGGTGAACTGTGGTTGGTGTACCCTACCTAAAAATCCGGTATAACTTTTCGCTATCCGGATTATGGAACCGGAAAGCTATCTGGACTCTATCCGGATTCTATCTGGAGTTTAGGTTTTCAGAAATTATTCCTTTGTCTACAATCTGGATTTTGGGTATCCAGAAACAAATTTCCGGTTCCATAATCCGGATAGGGAAAAGTTATACCGGATTTTTCGGTAGGGTATGTTTGCCAGATGCTGGACGATTCGCTAACAATTAAAGTGGTTAGTCCATATAGACCTGAGGGTTCTATGCATTTATTTAACAGGGTCGATACCAGTGAAACAATTTGCAGAGCTGTAGGCAAAACCAATCAGACCAAATAGGAACAACCAAGTCCTTTGCCGCAAAAGATATCTTTCAAGGTACTCACAATGCCGCTGGGTAAATTCCTAGACGCACGGTAGTTCAACTAATAAAACCGCGCAGGTGCACCACACGGACACACACACGTATACTGTCAGTAGCACGCTTAGCGAAAAACCGCGCGGAACGAACATCCGCCGCCGTAGAGAAATCCCGGGCACACTCACGATGTCGTCCCTGATGCCGTCGCCGCGGGTGCGCCAGGCGTCAGTAGCACGCTTAGCGAAAACCACGACCGCGCGGAACGAACATCCGCTGCCGTAGAGAAATCCCGGGCACAACACTCACGATGTCGTCCCTGATGCCGTCGCCACGGGTGCAGCAGGCGTCAGTTGCACGCTTAGCGAAAACCACGACCGCGCGGAACCAACATCCGCTGCCGTAGAGAAATCCCGGGCACAACACTCACGATGTCGTCCCTGATGCCGTCGCCACGGGTGCGCCAGGCGTCAGTAGCACGCTTAGCGAAAACCACGACCGCGCGGAACGAACATCCGCTGCCGTAGAGAAATCCCGGGCACAACACTCACGATGTCGTCCCTGATGCCGTCGCCACGGGTGCAGCAGGCGTCAGTAGCACGCTTAGCGAAAACCACGACCGCGCGGAGCGAACATCCGCTGCCGTAGAGAAATCCCGGGCACAACACTCACGATGTCGTCCCTGATGCCGTCGCCACGGGTGCAGCAGGCGTCAGTAGCACGCTTAGCGAAAACCACGACCGCGCGGAGCGAACATCCGCTGCCGTAGAGAAATCCCGGGCACAACACTCACGATGTCGTCCCTGATGCCGTCGCCACGGGTGCAGCAGGCGTCAGTAGCACGCTTAGCGAAAACCACGACCGCGCGGAGCGAACATCCGCTGCCGTAGAGAAATCCCGGGCACAACACTCACGATGTCGTCCCTGATGCCGTCGCCACGGGTGCACCAGGCGTCAGTAGCACGCTTAGCGAAAACCACGACCGCGCGGAGCGAACATCCGCTGCCGTAGAGAAATCCCGGGCACAACACTCACGATGTCGTCCCTGATGCCGTCGCCACGGGTGCACCAGGCGTCAGTAGCACGCTTAGCGAAAACCACGACCGCGCGGAACGAACATCCGCTGCCGTGGAGAAATCCCGGGCACAACACTCACGATGTCGTCCCTGATGCCGTCGCCACGGGTGCGCCAGGCGTCAGTAGCACGCTTAGCGAAAACCACGACCGCGCGGAACGAACATCCGCTGCCGTAGAGAAATCCCGGGCACAACACTCACGATGTCGTCCCTGATGCCGTCGCCACGGGTGCGCCAGGCGTCAGTAGCACGCTTAGCGAAAACCACGACCGCGCGGAACGAACATCCGCTGCCGTAGAGAAATCCCGGGCACAACACTCACGATGTCGTCCCTGATGCCGTCGCCACGGGTGCAGCAGGCGTCAGTAGCACGCTTAGCGAAAACCACGACCGCGCGGAGCGAACATCCGCTGCCGTAGAGAAATCCCGGGCACAACACTCACGATGTCGTCCCTGATGCCGTCGCCACGGGTGCAGCAGGCGTCAGTAGCACGCTTAGCGAAAACCACGACCGCGCGGAGCGAACATCCGCTGCCGTAGAGAAATCCCGGGCACAACACTCACGATGTCGTCCCTGATGCCGTCGCCACGGGTGCAGCAGGCGTCAGTAGCACGCTTAGCGAAAACCACGACCGCGCGGAACGAACATCCGCTGCCGTAGAGAAATCCCGGGCACAACACTCACGATGTCGTCCCTGATGCCGTCGCCACGGGTGCAGCAGGCGTCAGTAGCACGCTTAGCGAAAACCACGACCGCGCGGAGCGAACATCCGCTGCCGTAGAGAAATCCCGGGCACAACACTCACGATGTCGTCCCTGATGCCGTCGCCACGGGTGCAGCAGGCGTCAGTAGCACGCTTAGCGAAAACCACGACCGCGCGGAGCGAACATCCGCTGCCGTAGAGAAATCCCGGGCACAACACTCACGATGTCGTCCCTGATGCCGTCGCCACGGGTGCAGCAGGCGTCAGTAGCACGCTTAGCGAAAACCACGACCGCGCGGAGCGAACATCCGCTGCCGTAGAGAAATCCCGGGCACAACACTCACGATGTCGTCCCTGATGCCGTCGCCACGGGTGCAGCAGGCGTCAGTAGCACGCTTAGCGAAAACCACGACCGCGCGGAGCGAACATCCGCTGCCGTAGAGAAATCCCGGGCACAACACTCACGATGTCGTCCCTGATGCCGTCGCCACGGGTGCAGCAGGCGTCAGTAGCACGCTTAGCGAAAACCACGACCGCGCGGAGCGAACATCCGCTGCCGTAGAGAAATCCCGGGCACAACACTCACGATGTCGTCCCTGATGCCGTCGCCAGGGGTGCAGCAGGCGTCAGTAGCACGCTTAGCGAAAACCACGACCGCGCGGAGCGAACATCCGCTACCGTAGAGAAATCCCGGGCACAACACTCACGATGTCGTCCCCGATGCCGTCGCCACGGGTGCGGCAGGCGTCAGTAGCACGCTTAGCGAAAACCACGACCGCGCGGAGCGAACATCCGCTGCCGTAGAGAAATTCCGGGCACAACACTCACGATGTCGTCCCTGATGCCGTCGCCACGGGTGCAGCAGGCGTCAGTAGCACGCTTAGCGAAAACCACGACCGCGCGGAGCGAACATCCGCTGCCGTAGAGAAATCCCGGGCACAACACTCACGATGTCGTCCCTGATGCCGTCGCCACGGGTGCAGCAGGCGTCAGTAGCACGCTTAGCGAAAACCACGACCGCGCGGAGCGAACATCCGCTGCCGTAGAGAAATCCCGGGCACAACACTCACGATGTCGTCCCTGATACCGTCGCCACGGGTGCAGCAGGCGTCAGTAGCACGCTTAGCGAAAACCACGACCGCGCGGAGCGAACATCCGCTGCCGTAGAGAAATCCCGGGCACAACACTCACGATGT